CTGACATGGTCAGTAAAATTGAGAATGTACTCAGTTCATGATTCATACTTTTAGAGCATACAACTTTATTGTGTGTTAATTTCACTTATATTCTATTGTCTCAGATAGTGAATTAGTTAGACCCAGTACTTCGGATCATTACCCTAAATGTTTGTAAACATGCCCACAAATGCCCTGGTGCGGCCGAGAGTATGGAGAGTCCGCTCTCCCTCTCGAAATGCTCTCACATGGCCACGCGTATATAGCCTCTGCCAGGGAAGTCCTACTCACTGCCTTCTCGTGACGGGGGTGTTGTTTACGAAAATGAGAGGACAAAAAGCGAATGCCCGGAGCTTTAACAGGATTCCAAACCAATGGTGCACATGGGCTCGAGTATCCTGAAGGAACAAATGGCGTATGAACCAATTGTTGGTCACCGACTTCCATGGGACTGCATCTCCTCACGAAGCTCCACTACCTTGTGGATCAGACCTTCAGGTCGAAGGCTCGGGGAGTGGCCCCCTAAGAAAACCACCTGCTTCGGTTTGGGCACCCGGGCAGTATCACAGCCCGCACACATATCGAATGAGATTTTTGTGATGCATATGTAATTGGTGCCTCTTTGTACCAATATCTATGTGCCGAAATAAAATAAATAAATAAATAAACTGTAAACATATACGTGGGGAATACCCTCTGTATTAGTGCTGAAATAAAACAGTATGGGGTAGCAAATATTGCAAAAGAACTAGTTTGTATCCATCTACTAAATATTTGTTCTTTCATTTCCTCTTTTGTGAAACCCGTGTATCTGAACTTCTATAAAATGACCAGCAAAATGTGTAAACGTGCTTGTGTTTGATAGAAATTTTATTGATATGATTTACCTTACGGTTTTCAGTTAATTCGAACATCAAGAGTTGACTTTTAAGGTAGTTTTTATCATCATCATCATCAGCAGCAGCAGCATCATCATCACTAAAGTAGGGAAACTGAATGTAACATGTCATCTCACAATTCTCCGTTATTTTCATACAGACTGAACAAAACTTGTGCTTTAGGATGTGCAGAGGGTTTATTGCATCCTAATAAATGTAATGCATCTAAAACATCATTACAGGAAACCACAATTAGTCGATTTTCTTATCAGAAATCTCACAGAAAATAATAAACTTCTTATTTGAAAATAAGCAGTTCCAATATGCGATAATCGTGTTCTAGAATAAGTCAGATGTTGTTTAAGCATGCACTTGATACGAAAAGAAACGAGGGAATGATTAATTGTTGTCACTGTTTCCATGATTACATTAACATGACTATTGACCACTGTTGAACGTCGAGATGATATTTTAAGTTTTAAAAGGTGGAGACATAGAATGATGTGCATACGACAAAGTAAATGAAATTTATTTGGCCTATGATGTGAACAAGATTTTCCGTGCTCATTCGAAATACGACAATCAATTAAAAAAATATTATTTCGGATGGTTGGCAATACAACCGATTCAAAGTAATACTATATGGATGTACTAGTGCATTGAGTGCTAAATTTTATTACGATGCATATAAAATAGGAGCTCTAAAATGAGTCATGTACTTTATTTGTCGTGTGGGCAAAGTGATAAACACGTTTGACTGAGCATCGCCTCTTATGGATTTGTAATTATCCCCAAATATTATACTCACTTGTATTAACTAACGACGTATACATTTTATTTCAAGTACAAAGTATGATACATCCAGTACTTAAGAAAATCAATAAAGATTTATGCTGTCTTTACTTCATCATGAGTTATCATTGCAAATTCGGTGAACCTCAAAGTTATAAGACCTAACAACATTTCACGGTACTTTCATATTCCCTCCCTTTAAATCAAATTTCATCACAATTCCTGTATAGTGGAAGATCAGCATCAGTTTTCCTCTTCATCTTTACACCTGACGGTAATTTCAGTAGGCACATAATTTGCACAGTCAGTGAGTAGAATGACAGTATTCGAATAAACTATTACTATTATTACTATTAATGGCTTTATTCAATACGATACTTTTGGTACAATATAGAATCCTCATTACAAGCTGTTCCAACTAGTCTCTTTCCTTAAATGCATAACTTAAGAAGATAAACTACCTAGAATAACATGAAACGTTTTTTTATGAAGATTCATATCTGTGCAACTTTTTATTTAGAAACATGTTTAAGAATACAGGTTGTTGACTAGATCAGCTCTAACAATCTGTTCGTCAGATGGTATATTTGCTAGATAAGTTATGGTAGAACTTTCATATATTTGTTTGGGTGCATGGATTCTAATGACGTCTAGTTCCACAAGAAGATATAATTAAAGTAAACGGTTATTGTCGGATAAGATGACACAAGTCAGGAGTTTGCAAGATTTTAGATGCCTATCGACAACCATATTGCTAATGACTTCAAAAGATTCACTACACACTCTGATAACTTCCGCGGGGAGCGGAATCGTGGATGTGCACTGCTGAGGCGTCCTATACTAGGACGAAACGGCCGTCCAGTGCTTCCAGGTTTCCAGCGGTGGTCTAACATCAATTGATTCATGATCTCAATAAAAATATCTCTATTTTAATGTACACCGATGAACAACAAATTATATGATGCCGAAATATGCATCTCGAAATCAGATATTCACGACATACGATTTGTCAGTTATCTTCTATGTAACATCCTTGAAATTATACTGCTGACGTTTTTTTATAAGAGTAGTTGTGTATTGATTTTTCCGTGCTGTGCTGAGCGTATAGGACTGAATCAAGTCATTCATAGTATTATACAATTTTTTTTTCAAGTCGACACACGAATAAACAATCTATGAAGAAGCAGGTTGAAAGGTCTCATTAGTAAATAATAAAAGATTGAATAATGGCATAAAAGTTTACGGATATTTTGGCATCACTAATTATCTCTGTTAACAGAACTCAAGTGTTAGAAAAGAACTTATTAACAGAACTCAAATACATAATTCGGTTCGATTAAACTGAAATAACTGGATGGCATTTATGACGTTAATTCATTTATATGAACGTTATTATTAGTGATATACCTCGAAATTCACTTGCATTTTTTTCTTAAAACCGCTTCAAAACTATAGTCCCGTTATGAGCAATTATGACATTGATGTGTTAGCGATTACACTTTACGATATCGGTCTTCCGATTAATAAGGAAGAAAATGTGGAACGAAACACTCACTTAGAGTTATGAAATTTTTAACACGAAATCTCGTAATAATCAAAAGCGTTACGGTTTAGCAACCATGAGTATACAGAAGCGGGAGTGGGCACATATTTAATCACCATGATGGACAACAGCCTTTACTACATTATACATGCCAAAATTAATGGTTTTTAGCTGAATGGGTTTTTACAGCTTAAATTACATAATGACTGCAATAATCAAGGAAGCAATTGATTGTAAAAATCATTAATATCCATGAAACCTGGAAATTCACATGTTGCTTTACGATTTTATTGGTATCACAGGACATTAGAACAGAAACACATTATCTTGGACTCAATGCTATATTGCTTACGATAAACAAACCATAACTCAAGAATGAGGAAGTGTTATTGTATAAAAGAAAACGGTAATAGGCTTCCATCTCTATGAATGGTTTGTAAGAAAGCTGACTCAAATCACCAATATAGATATTGTAGATGTACGAGCTCGCTAAAAATATACATGTATATTTCATACTCAGTTGTTTATGGGTTAGGGCTAAGTTGAATTCTCAACAATTCCAGCTCAAAGTTCTTTTATTCTATATAATAATGTAAATACACTCTGTTTGTTCCCAACATAGCCTAAATGTAAAAATAATCTCTTTTCAGAATTCAGTAAGACTAATGAATGTTTTCTTCATGAATGAACAACTGCCCGATTTCAGTGTTTCTATTAAATTAATTATAAGTGATAATTCAATGTAAAATACTCGCACCTATGAATAGATTAATTTTACTAATCATGAAAAACTGTTACTGCATAATGTCACTTGATCTTCCACTCATTTTTAAATCACTCAAATGTTTGTTACTTTATATGTGGTAGTTTAGACGCTCCAAGCTTATCATACATATTACAAACCTAATCAGGGAAATTCTTTCTACATTAAGGAAGCACTAATCGGGTACTCCGTACTAACAGATGAATTATTGATTGATATCATGTTATTCTATTGACGAATGTTGTACGAACATTTGTTTAAACAACCTTACACAGTATGTGGTGTATAATTTACCACAGTTGTTATTGTTAACTGCTAAATCAAATTCATATTCTACGTAAAGCAATTACGCATTTCGCGTATGATTTTAAGTAAACTTGTTTTTTCTGGGATTCAGGGAACTGCCAATACTCAATCTTACATATTGTTATCAGAAAGCTCTAAACTTGTCTTGAAATATACTACTTAACTTCACTCGCAAATGATGTGATTTCATGGAGTGTTGTATTAGTGGAAAATTTAACGATATTCATCCCCTACATTACTTACGAGGTGGGACAAGAATTCAATTCACTAACAATTACTATAAGTATATGAGAATTCTTTGAACTTTGTATGGTTCTAACAATTGCTTAAATGCAGCACCTTGGTTATGATGATATACACGACCATTCAAATTCAAAATAAACATCTACGAATATAAATGGACTATTCAATTTCAAAATAGAATGTCCTGGTTATATTACTACTAGTCTTGTATGCACTACGGATTTTGTCGCATTCATTTGAATTACAGTATTGATTTTCACTTCATAACACAAAGAAAATCTTTAAATATTTTATGAAAGCCTAAACTTGACTGACAGAAAGGTAATATTACATTGATAGAGTTTACGACCTAAATTATTCGTTATGAATATTCATTGTAGTTTATTAAAACAGGTTCCATTACTGTTTTAAATTAGACCAATCCAATGGATAGTAACTACATTCCCATTTTGATTCAGTGTTCACATACCATTGAATGTTATTTAACACAAGTTGATCACTGTGAAATAACATTGATTTTATTTCACTGAAATGGGTGACAGATAGTGAAGATAACATGAGATAATTATGTTTCTATATAATTGCCCGCTTAAAATGGAATGAAAATGAATGATTGAGAAACACAGTTTCGAATTCATCTTTAAAAGGAAGGAAAAGTAGAAATAACTTTTGTTAGACTGAGGAAACATGCTCAAAGAAAAGAAAACGATTGAAGAGTGAAATTTCAGCACACTATGATGTTCACAATTGTAACTGTAAAACTGACTTTGAGTTTTTACAAGATTGGTTCATCTACTCTCTACTACAGATGTAAACCGAACATTTAATTTGGCAATACTATCTCAACAGACCTTTTTAATATTATCTCAGACTTGTCAACCATGAAGTATTAATTGGTTTAGTGTTAAATCTTATCGCACTACACGAATGTGAATTAACAAAACATAACATTTCTTACTTACTCTATTTGTCTACTCAGGGCACATTCAGTAAATAAAGAGAATGATAAAGAAACTAATAGAGCAATGGTCGTGTTCCAAAGCATTGATATCTTTAGAAGGTTCATTGTGTGATGTTTCTGAATAGCAGTATAATTAGCTAACAGCATAGGTAGTCGGTTAAAGGTTCTGAATATTTCTTAAATATAGCAACCTTTAAACCATTAACTCCAATTAACAATATTCAACTCCACACATTTTTAATCCAAGTACACTTTGGAATAATCTGATTTTAAACACATACTCTCTGGTGCTTGAATGCTGGTCGAAATGAATTCAATAAAAAATTTAAGGATACAACATAAGCCGATGAGTTGAATCCCAGACATATCAAAATTAATGCTGATTTCATAGTGTTAAATCTGCTGTTCTGTTATTGTATTTTAAGGTATTTAGCTCATACTTTCTTTAACAACATAATTTATATGCAATGCACACTTGGGTATTAAAAGTGGAATATTAGTTCAATGCTTTATGTTAGCTCGTGGTTATTCTTCTTGGTTACTTCAGATATTACCGTATTTCAAGATTGTGAAAATGTGCATGAATTCAACCTGATTGTTTGTTTTTCACTATATTTTCGACAATCTCGTGAAAACACTGAACATAGAAGATAACTCAAAGAACAGCATACGTCTGAGAGGCTATTCAAATGTAGTCATACATCGGGATAACTTGTATGTAAAACAAAATCAGCTGACTTACATCTTTTATCGTTTTATAATTCCATGTTTTTTCTTTAAGGAAAGCAGATAGTAAAGTTTAAACCATTTACAATAATGTAATCAGATATTCATGCTTTACTACACAATATTCACTAAGTAGTCTAACTGGTGTTCCACTGACAATCATCGATGTCTGTTAACATTGCCTTCTCATTCAAATGTAGTTACTAAAATCAAACTGTGTTTAGTTTCAACTATTCGACTGATCGGTCAGACTGTGATGAATTCGTGAACATGGAAAGTTACATTTCATAATAACAGTTAGCACGAGTTGTTCGGAAACATTTAAATTAATCAATACAAAGCCAACTAATTTAGGTGTTTCTGTATCATCACAGAACGCGCTGGAAATATTAATTGTACCATTCTTGAAATGAATGTTTTTCAGATTGGCCTATAATTTAAAGTTTCCTTGTGTGCATCATCTATGTATAGTTAAGCTCAGTGGAAAGCAAAATACAACTTCGCAGATCATGCTGGAACCGTTGAGCTCTTATTATAGAACTATTCATAATATGAAGAGATGATATTATGCAAGGTTTGGAAATCTTTGTTACCAAAATGGTTTAGTTAATCAATCTAGTGACTACAATAAATCATGGCAGATAAACTAAATTTCGAATATCTAAGTTCTGAATCAGAGAGATGAATAATATCTTTCCAAGAATAAATAAATATATATATTTTTTTTTTCAAAAAAATTGAAATTAAACCCGCACTTACAAGATAATCTTTTCCTGCCTTGTTTCTTAAAGCCTCTGATAATCCATGACTATGTGACTGGAAAAAAGTAAAACCATCGATGGATCCATCAAGTGGATTGATGAAAATCACCACTTGAGAGCACTTTTAAAAATATCACGAAAATTTAATAGAACATAAGACTGGGATGTAAATTGTTGAAAAATATCCTGGTATGATTCAGTCACGAGTCAACTAAAAAGAAAGTAATCGTTAATTGGCCTCCAGTTAACGTCTATGTTCTTGTAATCCACTTTGCTTCATTTCCTGATGAATGGTTGGAATAACAAGAGATTTATGACTAACTGTAGATTTCATTCCATTTTGTGACTACATCATTACATATTTTTCTTCTTCGTCAAATGTTATTCATTCATATCCGAAATTATCAGTTACCATTCATTGAAAACTTTATTGAATATTGACAGTACATCAAATTTGATTTAAGATTAAGTTCATGACTTACAGAATCAGCCTTTTTTAGAAGAAACAAAAATCATTTTTTCAGAAGGGGGTTCGGTGAAGATTTTAATGATTTGATAATTGAATTCATAAGTCAATTAAAGCTAGACCACCATGGAAACCTGAAAACCCTGGACGGCCGTTTCTTCCTAATATGGGACTCCTTAGCAGTGCTTCCAAGTTTTCCACGGTGGTCTAGTTTTAATTGACTCATGAATCCAACTATTAAAATTCATTTTGATCATCAGCATTATCTTCTGGATTATATATATTCATGAGCATATTACAAAGAGGCGGAATAATACATGATGGTTGAGAATAATCAAAGAGATAAAGTGACATTTTAATTTTATTTGTAAAGTGAACTTCTCATTTTCAACTCCTTATATCAACTAAATTAGCTTCTAGTTTACAAGATGCATCTATCACATAAAATCTTTGACAAATTAACGCAGTAGAGGACTTAAATATTAAAACCAGATTATTACTTACATGTGGACCCTGTTTTGAGCCAAATAAGTAATAAGTATGATATTGAGTAATAAAACAAAAATTGATTCAGACTAATACTAGTAACGTAAGTAATAATATTAGTCATAATAATGGTTTTATTAAGCATAAAATATATGGTACTCACAGTTATTCAGTCAAACATCAATAGTGAAAGCGACATCCGAACGACACCGTCAATGACTATACGTTTCTAAGTGACATTTTTATTCTTATTTGTATAGTCAACTTCTCATTTTCGACTTCTTATATCAACTAAATTAGTTTTTACTTTACACGATACATCTACCACATAACATGGTTGACAAATTAACGCAGTAGAGGACTTAAATATTAAGACTAAATTATTGCTTACTCCTTCATCCTGTTTTGAACCAAATAAGCAATAAGTACCATATAGAGTAATAAAATGAAAATTGATTCACACTAATCATAATAACGTGAGTAATAATATTAGTCATAATAATGGCTTTATTTAGTATTAGATGTATAGTACTCACAGTTATTCGTTGAAGCACCAATAGTGAAGGCGAAATCCAGGCGACACCGTCAGTGACAATACCTTTCCAAATCACCACATACTTCAGATGTTTCAGTTAAATGCTCTAAAGTTTACTGTAAAAACTATTCGACAAATTGTGAATTATCTGCCATATAGGGAAGTCTACACCACAATATGATTTACACAATGTTAAAATTACATGATCTCTTGAGATACGACAGCATAAATTGAAGTATACTTTGTTTGCTAAAATAAATTCAGTGAGTTAAAGAAACAACACCACCTAGTTTTATATTTTATTTTATGGAATAATATACATCTTGAAATGCCCCAGAATTACGTTGATCAGTAAGGATCTCTTTTATGCATCCCACTGGAAGGAGATCATGAATATTGCTCATGATGTAGGACTACATTGCACACACACTCACACACAGATCAGTCGTTTTATATTATAGAATACGGAACCGTGTCCTATATGTGGTTGCTATATGTATTTTACTTAGCCGAATTATTTACATCTAACTTGAATTAGAATTGAACACAACCTGAGTTGTAGTTACTAACCCCCAATGTTCCATCTATTGAATCTCCTTTTTGTCTATCTTAACTGATTTATGTAGCAGATTTGTAGTCATTGAAACTTAAGCCAGTTGATTATTTTCACCCTATTTAACTCTATTCAACACTTTTCAGTCAATTAACACTTCGTTTTCTCAGTTAATCGACAGTGGCTCGTCATTCAAATCTATCCTCATCATAATTGATTTCGATATATTGTTTTTCTGTTCCATTTCATAATTATCCTAACATTTCAATGCACACCAATATCATCTGCGTGACTTAAATTTTGCAGCTACTATATTTAAAATTTATGTAAATGACATGACAACTTTCGTAACGATGATCACTTTATCATGACAAGGCTTTAATTCGATTAAACATTTAGTAATGTGCAATGTGTTTACCTGGTTATTTCTATGAACATTTACAATGAACGTGAAAAGACTCACTTATTCTTATTACGCACATTCGAAATACAGTCGCATTAACTATGGACATGGAATTACATAAAACTGTATTTCGTGAAAATAAAACACGATTTCTGATATAAAAAAGCTTGATCTATTAGTTGTAAAACTTACCGGTCCACCTTCCACTGTATTTCAATTTAAAAATAAGTTAATGTGGTGTTTGAATGAACTGTTGATACCAATGTACTTTTTGAATGCTCGATTTCGAATTCTAAATACAATACATTCGTTCGTGCTTGTCTAGTAATTCTTGATTCGATTGCGTTAATGCTGGGATTCCTAGTTCATACTATAATTCAAATAATTCGAAACATTATAGTGAATTTCAACATCTTAAATAAAATTTGTTATCCCTACTGGAACAAAAATCTGCAAAAATGTGTAATCCATTCCTCCAAATACCGTAAATGCATATAATTCTCTCCAAATGCGGTATTATTTAGACAAAAAGTTAAGATAACCATTTTTACGGCAACAACGAAATGACAAAAGGAATTAAAAAATCAGTTATTTGTGACTTATCGTTGACATTTAACACACACCTAGTGACTTCTACAACTTGTTCCACATATGATAAGCAAACAGACAAAAATAAACAAGTGAAATTTGCAATATTTGAATTTCAGTAGTCGAAATCATGAGTCAATTGAAGCTAGACCATCATGGAAAACCTGGAAGTACTGGACGGCCGTTTCGTCCCACTATGAGACTCCTCAACAGTGCGCATCCACGACCCCGCTCCTCGTGTGATCCGAACCCAGGACGTATCAGTCTTGCGCGCGAGCGCTCAACCATTAGACCACTGAGCCGGTATCCAACGGTGTTAACGTCTAACCTCAACCAATCCACGAAATTGCGCTACATTATCAAACACCGGATTTACAAGAGAACTACTTACCATCAAATGTTATTTCACTTGAGATCACAAGTAAAATCAGAAGAAATACAATAGTTTTCATTTTTGATAGATAAGTTATAATTGTCTAAAATGAAAATACTGTGATGCTTATATACTACTTCAGCCTAACACTATTATACCAATGATTGAAATTCTGATCGCCTCTGATAAAAACCGTGGGCGTGCCTGACAACAATAATGAACAAATGCTGATCAACATGTATTTCATAGGGTGTGTTCATGTACGTGGAATAACACTCTTTGTTGCCTATATGAATTAGTTAATTAGATGTAAATAATGAATTGGTGGTATATATATATCTTAAACAATCATTCAAATGTATAGTATGTGCTTTGATCATATGAATAGCTAAAGTGACACAGTCGTTAAATTTTTATTATTCATGCCGTTCAGTGCTCCCATGTTTTCACTGGTGATCTATCATCGATCGATAACTGATACTTTATATTAAAATATAAAAAGGTATTTTAGGGTCAAATAATATTTCAATAAGTGTCAAAAGATTTTTCAATAAATATTCACGAATTGGTGAATCGTCAATACAGAAATAATCATCATCTTTTATTTTACGATTCATGTTATCCTATACAAGGAAATGTTATATTACAAACAATAATTTGAATGATGAGCCACAATTCAGCAACTATGCAAAGTGTATGATGACCGGATTGTATGTATTGTCATATATTAACCCTTGGATGATTCACTGTTTAACATGTTTATAAATAAACTGTAGATTTTTTAGTCATTTGTCATTACCACATATTATAATTAGTCAAGTATTTAAGCAACAGTCTAAACAATGTATTAGCTGTAATGAATGTTTGTTAAATGAAGTGAATAATTTCAAAGTAGCAATATTAGCACATCTATTGACTGCATGTGTACAAATGCAAATATGAAATATACATCAGACAAGGAATTGGAATTCACTTAGTGTGTACAGTCAAATAATTACTGTTTACTTACAGATATAGGTCAACGAATTATGATACATAAGTTGCCAAAACCATGTCAAGATGATATTAAATAATAAGTGGAATAGTCTAACATTCTTCTATTAATCAGTATGAAATATGGATGATCTTTATATTTCAGTGAATTTCGGGATCTTACATTTCCAATTCCTGGATGATCTGTTCAATGATTTAATGAACCGATTGTAGCCAAAGTCGCCATCTAATAGTTTAATCTGATTTAGCAAAACTATTCAACAAGATACACTGTAAGTAATAACAGATGTGTTATGTTACTCAAAGTCTAAACAAACGGATTCCAGAAATGAAATTTCCATCTAATCCATGTCAGTACGTACACACTTTTTCTAGTGTTATGCTGTATAAGACTGAGTTAGAAGCGTTATCATTAGGCCCTAAGTTTTGTGGCTTTAAGAAAACGATTAATAAAATGGACATTGAAATTCCATTTGAACATCTTTATACTCAAACGACAGAATTAGTAACTTCATCAAAAGATTTAAATCAACACTAATGGACTATTGTTTCTGATACTTAATTCATGGACATAATTTGAAAGGGATTTTGACGAAAAAAACACAAGGAAGCTTTAAGAAAACGTAAAACTAACGACAATTTATTAATCACGAAACTAGACAACGGATATGAGGTAATACTCATGGATAAAACAACTATATAAACAAGCTGAAAGCCCTTTTAAATGATAAAAGTAAATTTCAGAAACTGATAGTGAGGAATGACGTGGCAGCCAAGATTGAAAAGCAACTAAGAGATTCGGTGAAACAAATAAAACAACAAGGTTTTACTTCAGAAAAAGCATTCGAAATGTTGAAACCTACAGGAACGATTACACCAAAACAATATGGCCCACCAAAGATACCTAACAGTGGCTTGCCTCTTCAACCCGTTTTAGATATGAATAACTCAACCTATGATACTATAGCGAAATGGTTGGTGCAAATTATCAAACCATTGCACAAAGAAATTTTTAAGTATAGTGTAAAGGATTCCTTTGAATTTGTTGAGAATATAAAAAATCTATCGGTCAAGAATAACTTCATGATATCGTTAGATGTATTGTCCTTATTCACTAACATTCCCCTACTTAAAACAGTGAATGAATTAACAGAGAGGCACATGGAAACCGTAATTCTTAGATGCACGATGAATGTCCAGTTTCGATTTGGCAACGAATACTATAGACAACTAGATGGGGTCACCATTGGACCCTCTACTGGCAGACATTTTCCTTGCAAAACTGGAAAATGAACCACTTGAAAACAGAATTAGCCATTCGACATCTTATTATCGCTATATGGATGGTACTTTCAGAATATTAGAAAAAGAACATGAAAAGGACATTTTACTTAATATATTTAATAACGTTCATCCATCGATTAATTTCACACTAGAGGAAGAACAGAACAAAAGCATATCATTTCTAGATGTCCAGCTAACTAGATAAGCGGATGGAACTTTAAAAAGAGGGTTACACAGAAAGTCTGCAGCTGGACAGTATACTCATTCCTATACTGTAGTACCAAGCAGATACAAAAGGAACTTGATAAATATCCAGACTCACCGTGCTAGAATGATTTGTTCGGATGACACTATTGTAGATGAATTGGTTAATATTCGTAACTTACTTATTAGAAACGCGTACCCAATGAAATTCATTGACAAACACATGAAGGAGATGAAAAGAAGGACAAGGGTACCTACCGTTCCAAAAAATGGATTGTTCCTAAAATTACAATTGCTAAATGATGCTACTGAAAAAATTTTGACTCAGAGATTACGAAAAACGGTACAAAAAACATTTAATGCAGCCAGACTGAGTGCTATTTTCTACAACCACCCTACAATAAGAACAGCTAATAAAGACAGATTGCCTGAATTCACCAAATTTATGTGTATTTATCGATTCAACTGTTCCTATGGAGCCAGTTATATAGTGCGTACAATTCGACATTGATCACCACCCAGTAATCAGTCAATTGTGATTTGACAAGTTCGTCATCGTATAACAGAGCACCATCCGTCGTGGTTGAGCAAAAGACAGGTAAGAGTGATTAAAAGTTCTATTCTCGCTTACTTGGTTGACACAGGTCATCAAGTTGAATTGAATAAAGCTTTTAAGGTTATCTACCATATTCCATCAAATTTGCGGCATGGTTTATGAATGCGCCTTTTGCACAATCTTGAAGCCATTGCAATCCATGTTCACAAACCTAACCTTTGCATCCATGAGAAGTTTGTACAACCACTTTCGTTACCTTGGGCATCAGTATAGGTGCGTTTGTAGCAGAACTTTGATCAACTATTTTCGTATTTTGATCCTTACATAACTACTGTTCTACTGACCAATCATCAAAATATTCTGTTCTTTCTCTTTTTTATATATTATGCAACGCAGCAACTTCTTGATTTTCGTATAATTACTTTGATTATTATTATTCCTCTTTCTTCCAATTACTCAATGGTAATTTATAATCGAAATGTCATTATGTAATTATTACGTAACGTATCCACTCGATGAGTATTGATTCACTACAGTTATTAGTTTCTTAAATTTGTAATAGCACATAAAAATAGCGATATTAAATAAAGTAAAGAAGGGACATTCAGATCATTTTGTGGGTACCTCTAATATGGACCAGTCCTCAGAAGCACATTGAAAATTTATCTAAGTATGGGAGTTTTTCTCATCAATCCATAAAGCTACGAAATTCTATGTCGCCTTCATGAAATTCGTACTGCTTTGTGCCAGAAATGTAGCGTCTGTTGACTTGATTACGGACAAATGTTTCGGAAACTAGAAGGCAGATTTATTTTGACAAATTATTTCTGTTTCCCTATCTGTGTGCTTAGCTAACATGAGAAAAAAGGGTAGCGAAATATTCTCTAATCCCAAATACTACTATTTTACTTTTAATGGAAGATTAATCAAAAAATAACTTTTCACGATGTTTTGAATTAGATATGTTCAACATGAAAGGCGATAAGGATTTGGATGTACATCTATTATTGCGGCAACTATCGCTGGTAAATCGTTCGTGACGTCCCCAATTGGATGTCGACTATTATTATTATTATTATTATTATTATTATTATTATTTTGGAATGACAGAAATCCAGAGACTATTGTTGAAAATTCACTACAAATGAAGGTGATAGAGGCCCGTATAGCTATTAGATTCATATCTAGTTTATTTCTCTAAAATAAACGAACTTTGATTATTGGTTTAGAACGTCCTATCAAAACCAACTACATTCAGGAAACGAGTTGTTAAATTAATTTGATCAGCAGTAGCTAAGGGAAAAACTGTAAATTATCACCTTTTTCCATCCGATAATTGCAGAATCCACCAAGTGATGCAACGAGAATTTGAATTTCGCCGTGAAAACCTCTTTCCTAGAAATAAGAAAAGGTCACAACGTTCCAAATCATGCATCAGTAAGCCTTCTTATTCACTAATTATCGTTGTAGGTTGATGAATTGCGTTCATGATTATGATGCACATTCACACATATAATATCAGAATAACTTTCAATAAATTCTTGAAATACAAAAGCTGAACTTTGAGTAATTACAACACTCCTTCAGTAATTGGTATTATGAGACTGATCAAACCAACTCCTTCATTGAATAAGATTTGCAGATCTGGACGTTGAAATACACTCCATCATACTGCACTAAGTTCATAATTATATGTAAAACAGACTATTTTTCTAATTTAAAATGCCCGTTTGTTCTTAAAATGTAGATTTGTTGGTAACACATCTCGCCAGTGAAAAGATCAACCAAAATTCACATAATGTCCCATCATGAGAAGTAAATATTTGTGTGATCATATCTCTTTATGTTGTTAGTCATAAGTGTAGTTTACTAGTCATCACACCGAAATTATATCCTTGTTCATATTTCTCTAAAATGTTGTATTTATTCAGGACTGCATCATGATATGTTACCTGAATTGTTATTTTACATATCTCTCGTCAAATATACTATAGAATTTCAGAGTCTGTTACTTTATTTGCTGGAGCCAAATTGTTTTTTGAATGACTAGTCAA